TTTTTTTTTTTTTTTTTTGTCAAAAAGAAAAAAAAAAACTACTGCACTTCACCGAGCTCTTTCCCTCCATGGTTTAATAAATCACAACTCTGAGCAGCCCTGGTTGAGGCTCGCTGAAGTCGAGGCCTTCCTCTTCGATCAAATATCTCTGTACAGCTACCGGAAGTCTAGCAGGAGTGCGGGAGCCCCGGGTGTGGTGTCCTGTTCCAACACAAATATAAACCTGCAGACGTTGTCCGGAGGCCCTGGCAGTACCCCTCAGCACGCTCAGCTCGTGCTTCAAGACATGAATCGCTTCGCTAACGTGCAATCCGTGCAAGTCGATCATGCGTTCGTGTCCTCTTCCATTTCCTGGACTGTCTGCACCTATTTGATTCCTGAAGAAATACCGTACATACACATCAATAAACAGCAGAACAGAATGAACTGTAAGCGAGTTATCAAGCAATTCAGAAAATTCCTGTAGTCGTTGTGCAAGTCTTAAGAAAAGCGTGCCATCACTCTTTGAACCGTTCATTGAATGATCAGAGCCATGTCAAAACAATATAGGATGATTCAGTCCAAGTAATCAAAGACATAACATTCTTCAGGATATGAATTCATACACCTTCTCCAAATTATCTTTGAGCACAGAGTTGCAAGAATGACAATAATAGGAAATCAAAATTAACCATGAAATTTCACCTGCATCAACCTTGTTCGAATCGAGATGGGAAACAAACCTCTGCCGATAAATAGATTCTTGGGCCCTTCCATGAGCTGCCTTCATTTGCATATTATGTAATTGTCCCTTCATACTTAGTTCCTTCGCTAAAGCCTTGTTACCGATGAGGTACGCTTGTCGTGCCTATTTAGATAGAGCGTAATTACCTGAGTCAAATATGAGTTGTGGGCAGGGTAGCACAAAGGAGAGAACCAACAACCTTTCTTACAGACCTGTTCAAAATATGCATTTCGCAGCCGTGCGTGATCACGTGCTTCCTCCCGCTGCTCAGTATACATGTTTCCTGCCAAGTTAATATTGTTAAAGCAGAAACCCGTACAAAATTTAGTTTCACATCATATCCCCAACAAAGACAACGAATTTTGACAGCTATGCAATTACCAACTGCTTCGCCAGTTTCAAGCCAAACAGGAGCAGCCCGAGCTGAACCTCGATGTAGCAACCTCTCACTATAGGTGTCTTTCCCATGACCACCAGTAGTATACTTGCTAGCTAAAGTATGAGAACTTCTACTTGAGCCAATAGAATCATCAGCAGAACCATTTCCATTGTACTTCCACATACCAGAATCCTGAGATGCCAATTTCCTGACAGTGGAAGCAAAATCTGCAGCACCTCTAGATGGGGCGGTGCTGGATTTGAAGAAAAGCATGCCATCCTTATCAGAAGAGAGATAAGAGTTGCTACTTTGTTGGAGATCAGCCCCATCAAATTTTGGATGACCGTTTTGATTACCTGACACTGTAAGCGCAGGAAAGTCCACTGCACTAAGATTGGGGGCAGACACTGTCTTGGAATTCAGGTTTTGACTTATCTCACCATCAACTTGAAGCTACAGTTTAAAAGAGTACAGTATGATAAACTACATAGTAATATATACAGTCACACAAAAGATAACATGAGTATGGTGCTGGCTGACAATCTCTTTATAAAACAATGAAGACAAGGTTCTACCAGATCAACTAGTTCAGATTGTGCTATATGTCATCGAAAACTCTCTACCCCTATTCTGCAAAATGATTCACATAGCTATACCACTAGAACAAGCATTCGTAGACTTTAATAAGAGATTCTTGTAATATCAAGAAATGACAAATAAAAATTCACTCAGGCACAGTTAACCTCAGTAAAAGTTTTCACGCACGAGAGGAATAAAGAGCGTGGCAAGTGAGCTCAAGATGTTACACAACCAATGAAAGTTATGACTTAAATTACCATAGCCGCAAAACCATCGAATAAGAAACAAGTTGTCAAATGTAAAAATGTTTTGAAGATGAAATTTTGCTTCCACTTGATGCCTTAGAAAGGCAACTGACCTGTAATTGAGTCTACTTTATTCACATCTTAAAAAAGTCAACTTACCTCTAATTGACAGAGCATCTCAACCGTCAGGTTTAAGTCACCACCATTAGCAAAGTAAACTTCTGCGAGGCTTTCAGCCGCAAAACCAGGGAACTGTAAAGCCAGAAACTCAACAGGGTTCAGAATATCACTTTCATCCATTGTTGTTTGCTTGCCCAAGACATCCATGGCTAATCCCCTCCCGGAATTGTTGTGATAAGGAAGTTGCTGCTCGTTGCTAACAGGTTGATTGCTATTGAGAACTGGCTTCTGCCAAGGTTTATTTGACATTTGGAAAAGACTGGCTGAAGATGGATCTTCTCCATAAGCGGAAGAAAATCTAAACTTATCAGCAAATTGACTCCCATTAAAGTGATTTAGATTTGAATCCTGCTGATCATTCAACAAATATTCACTGCCAATATTAGCAGCGAATAAAGAGGTTTCGCTGTCATCATGCAGGGACAGGCCTGCCATTGAAATATTTCCAAGAGATAGGTTCTCATCTTCTCCCATTGACTTGAAATCAGGTGTGATATCATCAGGGAGCTGATGCCTCCAGAATTGGCGGGCCTCATCATCAGAATTATTTGATACAGACGACTCAGTCCGATCTAGAACAGCTTTCCCCAATGTCCCAGAAGTAGAAAATCTTGCTGTCAAGTCTGGCACACTGCTACTTCCAACTGGAGATGCTCTGAGGGAGAAGGGAATGAACTCAGCAGCATTTGGATTCAAAGCTGTCACCTTGCTTCCAATGTTTTGTTTTGCCTCAAAGGTTTTCGTTCCTTTCTTGGACACATTCATTATTTGCTAACACGAAATAGAACGCTCACATGTATTTGAAAAAATTCTATAGGGAAAAGCTCAACTTTTTGTAGCCTCAACCAAAACCTACAAAATATGATTTCATTTCATCCGACTAGTTAGTAAGTCAAGTAGACTTAAATTGACTGATTTCCATCCTACTCTGAAATGAAACGAACTGCAAATATTCAATAAATCTCCATTTAGAAACTGTACAAATTATCCCCACGAAAAATTATGCATTGCAGCATGGATAGTTTAAACTAGAAGAACCTATATCGTTTAAACTAGAAGTCTTGCAAGTAATTCAACCTTTCAAGTTTCATTTGATAGAAATGGCATAAAGTAACCATTCAGTTCATGAATTTATCATACACTTACATTACCAGACAACACTTCATGTCAGCTAAGTACGAGCAACGGGAATACCGAAGCCAAAAACATCATGCAGAAAACATTTATTACAATTGGTATGAAGGAAAACGTGACATTCGTTACATCAAAATAAATTAGGGGGGAAAAAAACAACAACAACAAACTTCATAACGAGAATAAAAACAAGATAAAGTACACAACTACCTGTAGAACTAGAAATCTGAACCTGACCATAAACATAAACTACCAAACTTTACAATTGAGGTAACAAGTATATCGCTAGCCAGAAAATCAGAATAGGATAAAACAAGATTCAGAATCTCGTAACTACACACTGACATTAAAGAGATCTCAGTAATTTCAATGCACAGAACAATCAGAAAGAACAAGAAATCAATCGCAGAAATTTCCAAATTAGGTACAGAATTATTGCTACTGTACACAGCGACGACCTAAACATAAATCCATAGATTAGAAAACCAGTTACGAGGAATATACTTCTCTTTACCTTTCCGAAACAAATCGAAAGGATCCATGGAAACGGATCGGATGAAGTCAGAAGTCAGAAGGCTAAAGAATTAAAGATAAGGACTAACTCTTATCTTCAATTTCGAACTTCGCAAGTCTGTCACTCTCCCACTCTCTCTTCAGTGTTCTATCAGCTTTCAGAATTACGTCTTCTCTCCCGCTTCTCTCTCCGCCCTCCGCCTATCTCTCTAGTCTCTCTGCCTCCCTCCCTTTCTCTCTGTGGGAGAAACCCTCCTTGGCATTATACCAGTAGCAGCCAGCACCACCACAAAGATATAAAATTCAAAATGACGATTAAGCCCTTCGCCACTCAATTTGACTTCCTCTCTCTTTTTTAAAATAAATAAAAAAATAAAAAATATCTCTGTAAAATTTTTATTTTTATAATCCAAATTAAACAGATAAGCACGAAATTGGGATTTAAAAAAAAAGCTTTCTCCCACGAAATAAAGCCTCCACTTATTCTTCTTTAATTATTGAATTTTATTTATTTATTATTTTTTTTATAATCGGCCCATTTAGTTCGGCCCATTTAGTTCGGCCCATTTAGTTCGGCCCATTTAAATTGAAAACAGTATAATCAAACTTTTGTTCTTATTGTAAACCAATTAAAAGTATAATTTTGTTTCCTTAATAATCCCATGTAATTTTACTGATTTAATGGTATGGTAGTAATGAATTTTTTAAAACATTTTATAATAATTAAAAATAATTAATTAAAAGAGGAAATAGTGACAAATTATGGAGCCAAGCATCGTCAAAACACTCGAAGAGAAAATTTTCCGACACTGTCATAGAAATCGGACAAGAACGTGTTATCTCATCCTTACCATTTCAACACTACACGTTGAGCCCTCTGTACAAGATGTGTGCAATCTTTCTTTTGACGTAGTAACGCTTTTTTTATTAAATACCTCAATTTTTTTTTTACGCTGTAACGTTGTAACGCTTTTGTAGAGTCAAAATGCTCGTGACTTTCCTATTTGGTTTTAGGGTTTCTTCTTTAGTATGATTCTAAACTTCTATTGTCGTGGTGCATATAAATTAGGTAACTATGGTTGCAGCTTTTCGAGGGCGATTGTTAGAGTGAATGTAAGTGTTATTTGTTGTAAGACCTCACATCAATTGAAGAGGGGATCGAAACATCCTTTATAATGGTGTGGAAACCTCTTCCTAGCATATATGTATTTAAAAATCGTGAGACTGACAATAATACATAACAGGCTAAAACGAAAAACATTTGTTAGCGGTGGGTTTGAGTTGTTACGAATGGTATCAAAGTCAAACATCTGCAGTGTGCCAGCAAGGATGGTGAGATCCCAATCTGTTAGAGAGAGAAAAGAATCATTTTTTACACGGATCTGTCAATTTTTTTCTAACAGACTTGATAAATAACGAGTTAAAGCGGACAACATTCAAAATTTGGCAACTTAATTTTTAAATTTTATATCAATAATAAAGTAAAAATGTATTAATTAATCATTTTATTTTGTCGAGTTGTGAAACTCGTCACGTCATTTTAATTTAATTTTTCTAACAAACGTTAAATACGAACGGACAAAATAAAAAATTTTAAAGATTAAAAAGTGATTTTAATTTTATTAAATTAAAAAAGTAAAATTAACGTAATCAAGATTAAAAATTTCCGTTTTCATCTAGCACCAAAGCTGAGTTGGCAACCAAATTTTGGTGAAAGTAGGAACTAAAAGACAAGGGAAAGAAACAGATTTGAAGCTCGTGTAATTTGTACTTGCTTCAGTATTTATAGCAAAATTACAAAAAAAACGGCAGATATTTGTTGGGCCAGAACGTTCATTAAGAATGGGCCGCGTGGCCCAATTCAGTAGGCCCACGCCCCTCTTTTCTAGCCATGAATACGCTAAACGCCATCGTTTTAACCACACACTACATGCCTGCGATCACGTGTGGGCCGCCACTTGTTCTACTTCCTATGGGAACCACAACTACTACCACGCGCACTTCACGCTCGACATATACACGTCATCTCCTTTGTCTTACGCTAAAATTGTAATGAATTTAATTTAATTTAATTTCCCCCTCATATTTTAGGTTTAGAAAAATGACAAATAATTTTAATATTAATCTTAAAAAATTTATTTATTATTTTTCAAACTATTTATTTAATATATATATATATATATTTATGGTTAAATTGTAGTTTTGGGGGAGAGAAGCGATTGTGGGGGACGCGCTTGGGAAAGCGAGTAAGGGAAGAAGGAAAATGAGAAAAAGGAAAAGACGAAAGAGGACAAAAAAAAGAGGGAGGAGAGAGGAGAGAGTCATTATCATGATAGCTGGCGCAAAGTGGCATTTTCGGAAGATGAGAACAAACGAGGACACAACCAAGGCCTTCCAATTTATGTAACGTATGAATATGATGAATGTTCCAAAAACCTTCCCACTAATATTCCTCCATTTCCCCAATATTACCCCTACTTTTGTTTCCAATTTTATCCTTAATACTTTTACCAATATAAAAATTTTGTCTCAAATTAATTCATTTTATTCTAATTACGAAATTTGTTTTTAATTTAATATCTTAACTTTTTTTGGTCGAAATTTAAGTTAACAATAAGTATTATTTAACCAACATTCATAAAAAATTATTTTAAAATTACATTTGAAACCAATTTAAGTTCTATTAAAAGTACAACAATTAAATTTAAAAATTATGTACAAAAAAAAAATGTTGAAAAATAAGAAATTCTGTGAACTAATTTTGTAATTGGTAACATTTTTTTTTATAATATTATTAGATGTGAGGTATAAACTTAATGATGCTTTCCTTAATTTAGTAATTTTTCTAAATGTCAATAACCTCTAAAATTTTAATTAAAGAGTGAAATTTTGTCATGGTGTATAATTATAGTAACTCTTAGTGGAATCAATTATCAAAATTTAAAAGTTGATATTAATTAATAAAAATATTAGAATGGAAATTAGAACTTATAGACTATATAAATAGATATTCTTATATATTAAACAATTTTATCAAAATGCAGGTAAATATATAATTTACGTCCCGTAATTTCGTTTTTAATTTTTGAAAATTCAATTTTTTATTTCTCTATAATTTTAAAAAAATTTAGGAAATAAATAACAAAAGAATTAATAATATAAAGAAAAAAAAAAAGAAAAGAATTTTGCAGTTTCCTGGCTCGGACGTCTAGATTCTAAACCAAGCCCCCGTCGCTATATATAAGTCCAAAGTGAAGCGCATTTACGTAAGTGAAGAAGCTTTCTTCTTCGTCTTCCTTCTCCGTTCTCTCAAATTTCCGGTTTCGGTGAGAGGCAAAGAAAAGGAGCCAATTGAGGCTCTGAAATGTATATGATATTTTGGAATCTGCTTATCGACGGCGAGGAAGTGACGGTGCGGGAGTGGGAGAAGGAGAGATAAAGAAAGATCCGATTGAGTTTCGAATTCAAAAAATTCAAAATCCGTTCACATCTTTTTGTTCAAATCAAATCATCCTTTTCCGGAGTTTGTCAGATCTTCCGTAATATTATCAGACACAAGAAGAACGATCGATTCGAACATCCGGAGAGAATATTCTAGACAAGCGTAAATTTCTGTTTGATTGTTAAGTTATCTTCGTTTTTTTTTTTTTCTTTTTAGATTGTTAATTTGATATTCTTACAGAAATACCGCGCGGATCTTGTTGATTCTGAATTTCTGTGGCGGCTGGAACAGAATCAACAATGGCGGCGAAAGTGACGAAGGTGATCGCAAGCATCGAGCAATCGATTCCGGTGACGCAGCACAACGCTCAAGTCATCGACGTGGAGTCGATAAAATGCGAGTGTTGTGGATTGACGGAGGAGTGTACTCCAGCGTACATCGCTCGAGTGTGCGAGAGGTATGAAGGGCGTTGGATTTGTGGACTCTGTGCGGAGGCTGTGAAAGACGAATCTATCAGATCTCTGAGCAAAATCACCACCGGTGAAGCGGTGAAGAGGCACATGAAGTTTCACAAAGCATTCAAATCTTCAATTCCGCCGGTGAATCCGACTGAGGATTTGATTTCAGCTATGAAACAGCTTTTCCGTCGCTCTCTGGACTCTCCAAAAAAAGACGCCTCGCGATCGCTTGGCCGTTCCAATAGCTGTTTCTCCTCCATGCCGAGGCGGCGAAGTCATTACGATTAGACGCTAACCGGCATTCACAGGCGGTAAAATTAAATAAAAGAACGCCATATCTCTTGGATGTTAGTTTATAAAATTTCGAGTACTCTGTGAAAAAATTTCTAGGCCTTTTTCTTTTGATTCTGTCTTGCATATTCTTCTTCAGAAAATTCTACAACTGATTACCAATCTCGGACGAGATTTTGAATTTTGCAGTTGCATGGCGACAGGTATCTCTTAATTGATTTCATTTCTATATTAAAACGAAGTACGATTATTCTTTAATATTAAAACAAATATGTGATGATTATGCAATGCACTGACAACTCAAATATTTTGCAAGATTGCAAAATAGACCCCCGAATATTACATATTTATTCCAAAACTCGGGAGAATGACGAGAGAGATGTTTTGTTGGACGTTGGGGGCAAAATTAAAGTGCGTTTTGGGGATAATGTTTAAAATCTTCTCTCAAACTGCAAATATTTTTCTTTTTCACATACTTATCCATGGCTGACAATAACTTTTTCTAAAGCTTCGAATTTGGCGCACCAATTTGGTCTTATTAAAAAAGAAAAGCCACACATTGGAACATCAACTCTAAATAGACTCCCTAACGCTTAAGATTTGTTATTTGCTATGTTTTTGTGAGATTCCGGGAGAAAGGAACAAAACATTCTTGTTAGGGTGAAGAAACCTCTCCCTAATAAAAAGGTTTTAAAACTTTGAAGAGAAACCTAGAAAGTACAAAGAAGCTAATATTTGATAGCAATGGGCTTAAAATCACTCGAATGGGGAAATGGATTGTGAGATCCCACATCGATTGTAGAGGGAACAAAATATTTTTTTTATAGGTGTGAAAATTTCTCCCTAATAGATGGGTTTTAAAACTTTGAGAGAAAACCTGAAAGGAAAAATCCGTATAAAATAATAATAATAACATCATAACCACTGCTCAATCATGACCACCAAATTGGCCACGTTGTGCTTTTTTTTTTCCTTTACCTGCACCCATCTTGAGTGCAGTGTATTAATATTGCAATTCGTACTGGATTCTTTAATATACCACGTTCATATTTTCCAATTGTTTTTAAAAAAAATTTGGTGAAAGTATTTACTATGCACAATCGAAC